ATTGTAAATGCAATATTTGCGCTAACAACATATTGAGGGTTGATAGTAAATCTGACCAAGTTCCCCTTGTAACTGAACGGTTTTGGAACTTTCGGTCGGAATTGCAATTCCGACCAAAAGCCCTCAATTAAAAATGCGACTAATTACAAAATTGATATGAACAAACGGAGAAACCTCGTAATAAAACCCAGCTAAAGACTAATCAGGTCGAAAGAATCTGGATCAACTTACGGAGCGAATCAACCAAAGAAATAGCCACACTTTAAAGAAGAATGCAAATCGTCTGGGGGCTCAAGGATATCTTGACAACAGAAGCGAAAATAAAAGCAACTCTGATGATAGAAATGCCAATAAAAATATTAACGAAGCTCAGAAATGTTCCAGCGAATATGCCAGGAGATGGAACTAGAACCGATACAGATTCAAGAATATTAGTAGATGAAAACAGAAAACTTCATTACAAATCGTCCAGTCCTGAATACCTATACTCTTGACTTGGAAGTACTAAAGATATTGGAGGACAAACAAATTGAATGCGGTAGTAAAGTTCCAGTGGAATTTTTCAGTTATTGATGAGAACAACTTGATCACCATTCTTTTTTGCACTTGCTCATCACTACAAGATACCGATTATACAGGGTGATTCACAACCTTATAGACACAGAGCAGGGGCGTGTAGAGGACCTCAAAACAAGTCGAGTTTCCATTTAAGTTTTTTTCTTAGGCCCATGATTAACAAGATACAGGGTGTTAACAAGATACAGGGGTCAAAAAAATATTGGAATTTTCTTTTTAACTCCTACAGTTTATCAGATGTTTTGCTCTAATTTTTAACGTATTTAGAAAGAAAGATATATAATATAAAATAGAAATAGTTTTTAGTTTAGTTTTGAGGTCTTCTACACGCCCCTGCTCTGTGTCCATAAGGTTGTGAATCATCCTGTATATGAAAACTATGAAGCAGTAGAAATGTTCCAAATTTGGAAAATGCAACATTTGCAGTATTGCGCAGTTTAGAAACGCTAATCCAAATTAAATGTTTTAAAAGCTTCCATATAACAAAATTCATCAAATTTTCTCGCTGGTTTTAACGACGACTTTTTTTCTCTCTAAAACTATTTAATTTTACAAAATTCAAAAAGACACAAAACTCAACTTCACCGGACATAGAGAGCACGCAGGGAGATTGCGATAAATAATTCATTAGAAACTACTATGATTGTTTCTGTTCTTTTGCCAGTGCGTTCAATGGCTACTCTGAAGAAACCTTCGTAAAGGCTTAAAAATTGCTCCAATGAGTAATATCCGCTCTGCAGTTGATACTGTTTTTAAACGGCCAATCAACATTCAACCGGATATGTTAAAGCGTCACAACTAAGCAGTCTATATAATAATATAATACTAACGACTTGGTCGGATTATCGCCATATCGGACTACGGTCCAAATTATACTCTGGCCATCTGGGGTTGATGATATCAAGTACTTTATAGTATTAGCTTTCTTGTAATCTGACCATGTAAGAGCTTGCTTTACTGGATCTTCCGGCTTCTGAATTTCAATTTCTAAACAATCGATTATGGCGTAAACTTTACTACAATGTGCACGACAAGGTATAGGTACACGTTTTTTAATTTTGTTAGGTGGCATCCAGACTATTAAAGTCTTTAACATCTCGCTAATTAATGGAAGGGATTTTGCAAAATTTCTACTCGCTGTACTTGCGGGAAACCCAAAAACATCACCTAGTTCAGCAAAAGTTTTGTCAAGGCGAATTTTTTGAAGAACTAGATAAATATTTTATTAGTATCTCTATTTATTTAATTAGTATCTCTAAGTAGCTTAAATATAAATAAAGCGTCTTTATTCAGACAAACTACCTGATAATTCTGATACGATTCACTCGTTAAACTTGACTCTGATGAGCAGTATAACTTTTTGGTATCCGTTTTAACTTTTATAGGAGATAATGCAATACTAGATAGTAGTTGAGCACTTAATAGGCGAACAACTCTGACAAACTGTAGCTGTGCGAATGTTACATTGAGATGACTTGCTTTTATACTTCCGTCTTAAATTTACGTATGGTTATTGATGTTCCACTACAAGCAAAGTTTCCGGTTCTTGTAACATCTTTTACTTGTTCCTGTTCGCGAAATTTCTCCTCTTCAGATTTTACGTCATGCGTTTTAGATGTACTAGACCTGTATGCATCTAAAGCGCAATTTATAATGTTAAGTCTATTATGTTTCAAAACTACGGCTCGTACAGGAGCGTCACTACTTTGTTTTCTGTCTTTTTGGCACGCAAATTTATGTGGAACAACATCTTTTTTCATTCTTTTCTAAACTCGCATCATTTTTCACTCCATAAAATTTTCCATGTCCTTTTCAAGCAGTGAAATAAAATAATAAAAAAAAATCGCCGTCACATTACGATCAGCCAAAACTCGTCGTTTCGGCGCGCTTTGTGTAAGTTTAAACTTTGATTGCAGATAGATTTGTTACGACAAAGAATGTGAAAAAAAATTGTAGGTCCCTTATTTGTTCGACATTAATCAATTTTATGAAATAAATAAAAATGTGGAACGACCCCATTGTAACGATGGAATCCGATGGATATGATTCCTCGATTTTGGTCAGACCGATCAGAATCGGATCAAATCTGATCGGGTGGAGACAAAGACTATGATCTAATATAGACGACCCGTTCTTATGTCGGTATACACAATAGGCCGAAAGTAAAATTCTGTGATTGTCCGATCTAAAGTCAACCACTAAAAAACGCTGTCGGATTCTTCGGAAATCAGAGACATTAGAGTTAAAACCTACATAAAGTAAACCAAATTCAGAGTGAATACTACAAAAAACATTCAAGAAATAGATCTACAAATACGAACAGAATTCATCAGTAAAGTACCTACATCTAGGGATGATTCGATACAAGTAAATACAAGTAGGTATTCGATACTTTTGTTTCGATACCGAGTACTTTGGTAATTGAATCGTTCTTTCGATACCAATACTTGGTATCGAAATAAAGTACTCGTATCGAATCGAAGTATCGCATCGTCGTAAATAATCAAATTATCAAAACTGTAAACACTGTCACAGTCAAGACTATTGTCAATCGTCTTAACTGAACTTAAAAATAGTGAAAATTGATAAACGTCATTAAACGTGAGTTATGTCACCCTTACTGACCCAGCCTGACTTTAATATGGTACCATATTACGACTAGATCAATTAGATCAATATGCGTTATGACACCCTTACGTGAAGTGCCGCCTCTTAGATAGTGATTATTCGATACAAGTAAATACAAGTAGCTATTCCATTCTTTTGATTTCGATACCGAAATACTTGGTATCGAATCGAATTATCAAAAGTGTAAACACTGCCCAAAGTCACAGAACATATATTTATGAAGATATAGAATATTTTATGAAGTCTGTAGTATGAAGTATGAAGTGAAATTGGAAAATAGCTTGGAAGGAAAAAGTTTTTTTGATGCTAGTACGGATAGTAACATACCTCCATAAAGTACTTTAGAAGACGCATTTTTACAAGTTTCAGCCAATAAGGAAAATTAATTATTTCTAGTACTTTTTCTTTATCGAATATAATAGATATATCTATTTTGGAGGGAGGTTCAAAATACAACAAAATAGTGCAGGCTTTAGCGTTGTTTGTTTGCAATTATTGCATTCCTACATTGTGGAAGGAGAAGCATTTTTACGCCTTCTGAACGTGCTTCAACCTAATTTTAAGGTAATGTAAAGGTAGGTGAATATCTATATCCTAAAGCTGGTGCACAATGACGCACAATGGAAAAAGCTAGTCCCCTAAATAATTGCAGCAACTGATTTTTTGGGAAACCTTCAGAAATAATATTTGTTGTTTACATTATGGCAATAAATGCCTTAAAATATATTCCATGAATTTTATTACAATACCTTATTTAAACCGCTTTTTTACAGTTAAAAGTCACGGTAACAGTTAATTTCGGTCTTGAAAAACTCATCGAAAATGTATACTTAAAATGTGTTTATGACGATTATACGTATTTCTCAATATCGAGTCAGTTAATAAAATTGTGAGTAGGTAATGGTATCGATACTTTCAGAATACTGATATGAGCAGTATTGCAAGACGATTTGGTTACTACTCATTTGAGTAAGTATCGATACTTTCAGAATGCTCATATGAGTAGTATCGCAAGATCATTCGGTTTCTACTCATTTGAGTAAGTATCGATACTTTCTCAATATCGTATCGTCCCTACCTACATCGCGCTCATTATTTAAAATATTCAGTGAGTTATGAATTGAACTCAGGGATTAAAATTGGAATTTATATATAAAAATAACCATTCATAAATAAATTAGGAAATCATTGAATAAGAGTAACCTAAACATGTTTTCAGGAATTACATTTGCTTGGAGAAGAAAGCATCCGACCGAAATTTCACACCTAATTTCCTTCTTTTTAAGTCTTGAAAATATTACAGGGGCAGAATTGAACCTTCACGCCGGGAACGGAAATGAATATGGGGCCCAGTAGGTGCAGTAGGGGCCCTCTCAACGTTGGGGCTCGGGGCTGAAGCCCCTGCTAGCTCCTCGGTTAATCCGCCAAAGACAGTTTAAAACGTCAGAAGAATACTTATACAAAAGTACCTATACCTACTTAGTACCTATAAGAACATACAGCTAAGGGAAATTTACGTTCAGTGGAAAATAAACGAATTTAAAACAGTGAGGCTTGAAAAACTTGAATTAAAACTCACCAATAAACTGGAAAAACTGCAAAGGAACTTTGAAAGTGATTCCCAGCTGATGTATCAAGTCACATTCGCCATTTTAATGTCACCGTTCAATGAGAACAATTATTATTGTGCTCTTATTTATCGACTGACAGATTGCCACACTAGAGGGCAGGCAATTAAACTGAGATTACTGTCTTTCTCGCTCATACATTCAGGAGGATAGAGACTAGAACCAATCGATCATTTAGCCCAAAGTGCGATGTCAGTCCCTATTGTCAAAACCAGATGAATCTTTGTTTTTGTTTTCATATAATAAATTATTGTTTATTGTTTCCACAATCTTAATGTTCTTCTTAATCTGAGGTTGCAGAGTGATTATTGCTTACCTAGTGTGACCAAGTCGTCAAATCGTGCAAACACACAAAAACAGACTTTCTGCATGCGAATAGTGGCGCTTCCCATTTTTTATATAACGTCAGCTTTTGCGTCGTATTTAAATAATCATTTACATCAACTGGTATGTGTTAAAAATATATATTAATTAATATTGTCGTGTATAGTTACTTAGTACTCTTCCTTTGCCCAGACCAAACAAGGGAGTCTTTGTCTTCATAAATAAAATCTTTGCACTAAGGCACGAATTACTTTGTAGAATGCTCCTTGAGATTCGATTATGGCAGAGCAAACTAAAAAGAAATTGTACCCAGACCTGCCACTAGATGATATCAACCGTCTAGTGCCTAAATATGTAAGACCACAAAAAATCAATTTCTTGGCCCTTAACTAAACTGCGAAAATCTGTAGCACTCCTTGCCCCAGCAACCGACTGAAGCAAGTAGCAGGCCTTCGAAAGATGGGCCAAGTTTCCCCCAAACTGGGCCTCCTAGTTTGCCCCACAACCTGCAGCCGCCTTCTCCATCACTAGGCAAGGGGCCAGTCCAGAAGCACTACATGGGCTTTTTGCAGGATTATGTGGAGAAAATTAACGAACTTCTCGAGAAGTTTGAAGAAATAAAGAAAAGAGCTGCTGATCATCATTACAAGAGCAACTGTGCGAAGGTTTCAGGAACAGTGGTCAGCAGCACTGGCGTTGCTTTAGTTATGGGCTCTTTATGGTGGGCCCCTGTAACTGCTGGCAGTTCTTTGATTCTTGGAGCAGGTAATTTTAAAATTACAAACCGAAACTAATTTAAAAATTTACACTTAAAACTAATTTTGAAATATGAAAAACTCGTTTTAAGGTGGTGCTGTTATGTCAGTAACAGGCAGTTTGACCAATGCCTTAACCGACTACATCGACTATAAAACAACCGCGACCATAATGGAGGACATCAAATTGCTGCTAAAGGAAAAGGAAATGTTTGATATGTGGATGCGTAAAAGTATCACTCACTTCAATGAGTGTATTACGCAACTGATGGAGGAAGGACTCACAAGGGAGGTGGCTATATCCACTATTATCGAGGGTAAACCCGATCAATGTTTCAGTATCGACAAAACCCAAATTTCCTATACATATTCCAGGAGTGGCAAAAGGAGCGATTAACATAATGGAAAAACCCAACAACCAAGTGCTTTCGTCCCTAAGCACCGCGGTAAAAATGCATAGAATTCAGCATCTGGCCGCTGAAACTCTGCCAGTTATTGGAAAAACGTTTCACATGACCGAAAAGAGTTTTCAATTTATTTATAACATTTTGGGATTAACAGGTGCGTAATAATTTGATTATTAAAATTTCGGTTAATATCATTGCTTATTTCTAGGACGCACAGTTCCAACAATGATAAAGGAATTTGCGAAAATATCCGGCGTTCTGGCTGTAGCCTTTGCTATGGCCGACATATCAATTTTAATCAAAGATCTGTGTTCAGAGCATCCGTCAGTTGATATTATAGAGAAGGTCGTCGGGCAGTTAAAGGTATACAAAAACAACCCGACTAATAAAAAGTTCGAAAAATAATTCTACAATTCGTATTTGTTTCAGGACGAACGCGACATTCTCCTAGACCTTTTCGGCATTTTAAAGTCAGTAGAAGAACACCAAGATGGCATTTTCGATAGGGCGATGCTGGACATCGAAATGATTATGGATAAAGCAGATCTGCTGAAAGATTTTGTCATTATTAATGACGATGATTTCCAAGAAAGAGCTGGAATCCCCGTGCAATAACACTTCGATATTAATTTATAAATATGTTTAGTTTAATTGTAACAATAACCGACTTACTAACAACAATTTTGATGAACTTGGATTTGTCTTACATTTTTTATACCTGGCCCAATTTAGAAATGTATATTGTCTAGATACTTAAATCTTAAAAATGAAAGACTACAGAAAATCATATATGGGCCGCACCGATAGTTCCAATTGAAAATTGTTATGCAAGTTTAAAGTAAATATTTCTCTGAATTATTTACATGTCAAGATATGGAGAGAAGCAAAAAATACGTTTTACTACTTCAAGTTTGTGATACATGAGTCATGCAGATACATTTTGCAATCTAACTTAACGGAATGCAACGTTGTAGCTGCTCTGCCGAATCTGATTTATTCTCAAATTTTTTTATTTTTATTCCCAGTGACCTCACATTTGAAAAAAATATTGTAAACGCCGGCCTGATGACAAACTACACTTGATGAGAATAGAGGTTGTGAATATGTTTGCCTTTTTCGCATGTATCTAATCCTGGGTTTATATTTCAATAAATACTTTAGACTAAGCTTTGTTCATCATTACTATTCCTTTCCGAACTTGTCTTTATTTCTCTTGTGTTGTCTATCTATAATTTATGGACGGCAAGAAACGGTGATGAAAAACAGTGATTAACATTAGCAAGTTTTAGTAGCGATCCAAATCTCAGCTGATTTGAGGATATGTTTTCCATATGCAGTTTTGAGTATAAATTGAACATTTGAAACGTCTCGGTTAAAGAAACAAATCAAATATAAAAAATGTATTTACTAAATTCTTTACAAGAATATGGCTCATGTGGGCATGCCAGCATCTGCAAGGTATGCATGGTAAAATATTTTCTAATTTACTTATTTATACTGGGGCTCAAATAATGGCAAAAAAAATATTAAAAATTCCTTAAAAACTAAAACAATACAATGTGATGCCCAAAGAAGTATATAAAAAATAAATTATAAATAAGGCGACTGTACAATTTCATGTCATCTAAGTTAATCTGTCATTAAGTATTTACTCAGGATCAATACGTTTTATTATATATATTAAAACCAATACGGGGGGTTCAAAAAACTATCACAATAATTGAATTAGTGAATATTATTAACAGACACTAGCGCCAAGAGAAACGACCGTGAGAAGATTGAGCAAATAATGAACATTTAAAATAAGACGCATGAGACTGATTAACCCGTAAGATTTTGAAAAACAGAAAATTAAATATACTTCCCAGTAATTCAAGATCATCAAGGTAACGCTCAACTAACTCAATCGTTGAAACGATGATCTTTTTAATTATCTTGTTTAGTTTCAAGTCTTTCATACAAACTAATTGTTAATAGTGACGATAAGTAGACATTGTGGTTGCTATATACCAAACACAATGTCTAGCTAATGCGGGCTGTTGTATAGACAAAAAGATAAAAAATTTAAAACAAATACAGACAAATAAATTTGGAAAAATAGTGACCTTTGCTGATCTTAGATAAGTAAATAAACATTTTGTGAGAATTTTGTTTCCGTTCTAATTCTCCTAAATGTAAGAACATAGGTCATATTTGCAATACACCAACCCTCAAATTGGCACGCCGGTGCCTAATGGCCAATGTCCATAACAATATCCTTATTATTTACACGTTAACTAATGTTAAATTGTGCTTAAACACCTGTTTAGGTCTGTATATTAATTTGAAATAAAGCGGATTGGTTGTAGAAATGTCGGATATTTAATTTAAGACATCTGCTATAAATGATATTGTATTAAAAATTGTAATTAACAGTTGGCTAAGCACAAATTAATTCGAGTTGCTACTGTCACTGCAAGGCACTTGTCTAGTTCCGTTTAGTCAAGTAAGTATCAAAAGCAGATCAACACGAGAAATTTAAGGAAACAATATTATTTTATTAATAGCTGATGTGAGACCTTACGAGTCACTCTTCTCCGACAGGTTCAGATTCAAATCCTCTCCCAAAGCAGCGTTTATACTGTCGGCTGCTGGAGCGGCTATTTGAGAAACTTGTAGATATTTCGCTGATTTGTACTTGTCCTGAATTGAGTGCTGCGGATGATTTGGAGCCTGAAATCAATGAAAATTTGTTTAGAAACCAATGTAATAAATGTTTTCTAATCAAAGTCGCTCCATAGAAATTGATTAAGGCATAGCCTATTAAAGAACAAAGACATGTTGCAAAGAAATTTCTATAAAATACAGTGGCAAAAAACCATCATACCTTAACGAAAACTTTGTATAAGAAACTCATACATTCTTGCAGCTCAGATAGTTGGTAACCGATACCTTCGGCGATTTCCGTGGGCCACATTGGAAGTTCCAAAGTGTGGTGGGCGATGGCAATTGCACTGGCAGAGAGTTGACTAGGCAAGAAACAGAGGTACGTTTCCCCTTCAAGCATAGAGAGCTCACAAAGGTACTGAAAGAATCAAACAACTTAGAATGTTCGTATGGAAACATGGAAGGCACATTTACCATTGCCAAGAATTTGGGTTTTTCAGAAATATTATTCATGGTACACATCGCAGTGATCAGTGCAAACGGAGTGGGCACCGACAGATCGAATCCCAGTACTTTTACGATAAGATATTCCATTCGAATAACTTGTCTTTTAGTGTATGTGTCATCGGTGATGTAAACAAATTCGCTAATATCTGGAGGATAGACTTCTTCATATTTTCTGAAAATTCAATAAAAATTATTGTTTTGCCTATTTATTACTAAGAAAGTCGATGCATTTTCTAAGAGTTAGTTAGAAAATTTCAAGATTGAAAACCGAGAGTTGGGGACTATGGCATTTTAAAAAATGTCCAAAATTGTACTGTAACTAGAGTAAGAAATGCAACGACTTGGAGTAGAAGATTTCACTTACGACGCTAAAAACATTGCTGCTGTTCCCACAAGCTGCAACTTGCCTCTGACTACAGACATGTAACTGAGAAAACGATCTACGTAATTGACTGATAAGTAGAGGGTTTCGGTGTGGAGTTTGTACTCTTCGGCTACTTCAACCAACCAATCGACGAGAATGGATCTCATTGACGCGGTAACATCCGGCTGTTTCTTCATGTAAGTGGGCTTCGCGCGATTACGAAGCTGAAAAATGCAAATATTTATAGATTACTTTATGCCAATAGTGTCTTTATAACAGGCTTACTTCGTGTTCTCTCAAATATCGGTAGATATCGACGATATATTCCTCCACATTGTAAAAGTTATCATCCAGAAGGTTTTTCTTAAGAAGTTCTTCGCTATAGTTATTTTCATCATAGTCTTTCTCAAGGCTCATGGGACTTGGAATCGGGCTGAGCTCACGCTTCGGAACCTGTTTTGGAATGAGACCCTTTCTTTCCATTTCAGCCACCTCTCTTTTAGTGACAAAACGATCTTCTGCAGTGCCTGTTGCAAAAAACCAGCCGCTTAAAAACAGGACTATTTTGTACCAAATAATTGCCAGAAAATTACCTTTGTATACATTAGATGTACTTCTGGCCCTAACTCGCTCTTCAAACTTTTCAAGTTTTGACTCATAAGCTGCATCTTCGTAAACTTTGAATGCTTCGAATTGGGCAACTGGAATTATCGGATTTACGATATTTTTACGATTGTTTTCTTTTTTGCTGTTCTCCCATTTGTTTTCTTTGTTTTGAGCGTTATTTAATCCCTTAAGGTTTGTGGGCGCAAATGGCTGCAACAAAACAATTTCATATACATTTCGCGGTATTACGGGTTTTAACGCGGTATTTAACTATTGTTATTAGACGAGATGTGTAACGTGTGAAGGTACAACACGACCTATCTAGTTTACTCGAAAAAAATAATGCCTGTTTAGCCAATGTGTGACGGCAATGCAGCACGTCTTCATGGACATTCAGCACGCTGAATTCGTGTTGGCTTGTTTAATTTCGTTGAATTATTGCTCTACAACTTATAACGATCAGGAAAACTAGTGGTTTGAAGAAGTTACTGTTGAGCACGGCCTTTAAAGCCTGCCATTGAAGTTGCTGAACTAGATCGCGTTTACATGTTTGAGGTTTTCGAAAACTGCAAAAACCCTGAGGTGAAGCAGCCTGTATGTTTCGACACTAAAACAATGCATATATGGGTGCAGTGGGTTACCGTATACTCATTTATGGCCGAAATTGCCAGCAACATACAAAATGCTCAAAAGATCATGGGTTTGTATCACGTATACTGAAAACAAAACTGCCATGAAGTTGGGTCTCATTGGAGGGCAAAAAACTGGATAATTTTAACACAAGCCTGTAGCAGTTTTGCTGCCGAGAACAGCGCAACAGTTTTTCTCACCTGTTTTTCCTTATTTTCCTTTCCGTTTACCCTTTTGTTGTCGGCCAACACTCCCAAAACGGTTCGTTTCTGATTCCCTCCATTATCCACGCGTAGATCCCCCAGCTTACTTCCACGGTTTTCCTGATCTTCGTGGATTCTGAATGTGGCCATGTTGAGTATCAGGCTGAAGAAATGGCAGAGCGATTGCCACTAAATGAGAGTGCACTGATTTTCCCGCAAAATTCGACGATGAATTGGACCGAAAATGGAGAATATTAGTTAGATGCCCAACGGTCGTTTATCCCAGACAGCTGACAGCTGGAACTGGGGGTAGCACTGTCGCCAAACTAATAAGCAATAGTGAAAAATCCTGAAAGAAAATTAAAATTTATTTAGTGGTGCTTTATGAAGACTTTACTAGAACACAGAATATAATGCAAAGTTTTCCAGGATTATAGGAATCGGAATTGGAATGAAATGCAAAAAACGAATAAATAATTAACCTTAGCCATGTAAGGCTCCAAGGTGGTGTTTCTACCAAACTGGGAATATATGCCCGCTTGGCAACACAGCAGCCACGAGCAGCTGAAAAATGTGTGTTGACAATGTTGACATTGCGTTTAGCGGTATATGAACCGTCCCATGAATATTTTTTTGTTTTTTTTTTATTTGGGAATATTTGCCCAGTTAACAAAGAAATCCCACATTCTTAAAACTAACCATAATAAGAACCATTTTTGATACTCACTTGTAAAGTGTAGAAACGGCAATAATAGCAGTAAAAGAGTAAATGTCTAATTGTACTAAATTAAATTGTCACACTGGTTTATTTCTGTGGAAACTCAAACATACCAACAAAATAATGATTTTTATCGGTTTTTATGTCAAATACTTTTCGAGTACTACCAGGAATGTCCTTGGAAGAAGCTCAGTAGCGTCCCAAAAACAGTATTAGAGTGAAACAATGTTTATCAAACCTACTTAGACAAGGAAAAAAAGTCTCTTGACCAAGAGAAAATTGTTGTTAATGAATTAATTATTCACTTAATTAATTAATTGTTATTGCCTGATAGTTCAGCGTCAGTTTATTGCAAACAAAAAATAATTTTTCAAACTAGACACTAAAATATTCCATAGTTGGCGTTACACATCATTTAAATCCTTAGATTCACTCGATTGTTAATTATTAATAGTAGTCAAAATTATAATGATTAGCAAAATTGAGTTCGAATGCCGAAATACTGCCGAATTTAATTAAACGAAAATTGAACAATATTATTATTTTTGCAGTAATTTTTTTCATTTATCTTGCATAACATCTTTCTATTAAACATTGTTTTCACACTATATGGAGATAATTTGGAAGTACTCGATAATGTAACTGGTACATGCATTTGTTGGTACAGGCGACATTAAGGTGGAGGTATCCAAAGTATGGTTCTTTATATATAGTATAGGTGCTTTCACTATTCATTTTAGGTAACTGGTTCTGGTTATGGTTCTTTCTTTAAAATTAGTCTATACGAAACAAACCAAATTGTTAACCCAAATAAATACAGGCACGTTACAATGTTATTGAAAAAGATAGAAGGAAAAATGTGAAAAATCTAAAATGGCCATTATCGATAATGCAACGCGGTTTGGAAGATCTTGTGTAGATGGCCCTGTAGATGGGGTTTTGAAGATTTTCTGTGGTTCTTCGAAAATTATCGTTGCTTTAAAAGTTTAAGTGCAAGGAATTAATTGAAATGCTCCCAATTTATAGCTAAAGTGCCATACGTTTTATATCAATAAAAATACAAGGATCTGGTATTTATTTAAATAAAGTACCTACTAATCTGAAGGGCTAATAAACTTTTTATTAATGCATTAATTTACATAGACAATTGCATAGACAAAACAGCAAATAATGCCACCAAAATCATTTGCAAAGTTTTTTTGTGTGTGTAAGACGTTTGGGATATTTCACATCAGAAAGTTACATTTTCTAAATCGCATTTCCCTTATTTCCACAATTTTTTAAGGAAGCTAAAATCTTTTTCTGTACAATATTGATTCATTTAAAGCGTTCCTAATATTAAACGAACCACCCTGTATATTGATCTCGTGTACAATGCACAACTATTGCAGTTTGTACAAGCAAATCATGTAGTGAGGCATTAAAAATGTCGCATTGGCCGAATTTGGCATTAATCATTTACGAAGTCATTAATATTAATAAACCACGAGGTTGCGTGCAGGCGCTAAACTCATTAAAAGGATTTTTTAACGTTGATTAAGTCTTGCAGTTTTATAGTGCAATGCAACATGCTTTTTTTTGAATTTTTCTAGGTCAACTGTACTTAGCGGTTTCATTTCTAGGTACACTTTGATCGATTTACGTCATACTTTTATATACATATAGGGTGATTGGAAATTGTTGGAAAATTTCATCTCCAAGAGTTCTAAAAGTTCAATCTATTTGGATTAATGAGAACAGAAAATCTAGTTCGAGTAGTCCACCAGGAGTATTTACCAAAAACTAAGTGTTTAAATGGGAACTAAAACTCCCAAATTCGAATGCGTCTTTAAATTGAAAAATATAATAAAATAGTATTAAATGTGCTTATATTTCCGAAATATGTAAAATATTTGCAGCTTCGTCCTCAAAGTTTCGATGGCTTTTTAATTTAAATTTTCAGATTTTCAGTCAAACTAGAAAAACAATGATTTTACTGATAAAACTATAACTTTCAGTTTAGCGGTCTATTATTTAAAAATTGCAGTTTGTTCTTATGCTGTGCGTTATTAAAATTAGTTAGTAATGAAAACTAAGTTCTTCGTAGCTCAAATTAGGCCTGGGCAGCACAGTGGATTTTCAGGTGTTCACACAGCGACACCGATACGGTTTAGCGCATTGATACATCGACACAGCGCGCCACACTTTTTATGTTGAAAAATCCATACTTAAAGAGGCAAGTCAACCGCCTCCAGGCTGCGATCCAGGAAGACATCAAGGAAGTTCGATCGGAGCACTGGGATTCTCACATGGACCAACTAGAGGCTGACGAGTCAAACATAGAGCTATGGAAACTAACTGAGAATGGAGTCACTACTGTGGACCCCAAGGACAAATTGGAGCTCTTTGCAAACCATCTGGAGCTCCAATGCAGAGTAAACCTGGTTGATCACCCAGCACAAGAAGAGGAAGTGGAAAATACTCTAGCCGCCCACTTCCAATACCGGCAGCCCACACAAGCCAGAAAAGTCACCACAGAGATCATCAAGGGGACAAAGCGCAAAAAGGCCCCTGGACATGATGGAATATCGAATGAGGTCCTCAAGAAAGTACCAAAAGCAATAACTGAGAACCTCACCACAGTGGCAAACGCAATAATGGACCTTCAGTACTTCCCGAACACGTGGAAGAAGGCAATAGTGTAGTGGTCCAAAAAGAGAGCAAGCAGGAAGCTGCTTAAGTCCTACAGGCCTATCAGCCTATTACCTATGATGGCATGATATATTAACTCTCAGGGTGAATAGAAAAATTAAGCCATAAATTTGAATTAGGAAAAGGAATGCTGACAAAGGTACGGCGGCAGGACGCCGGTGCAATCTATCAATACCGATGCAAAAAATATTACCTACTTTTTGCTGAAATTTTAGCCTGTATTTAGACACACGTGCTCAAGCTTCAGTTACATTAAATTTGTGTGAACCGCTCTCTCATTTCATGTGCAGAACGATTGTTAATGAGATTGTGAGCAATGAATTTGTGACTTTCCTGCAAATCGTTTCTTGTTATGTGGAAAGTCCTACAATTCAATCTTGGGTGTTCCTCCTTCACATCTGGGTAAAACGAACTGAAAACGCCAGATTTTCGTTGAGTTCATTTGCACAGATCTGGCTTGCGCAAGCCAGATCGTTCAGATGGCTTTTACCCTGGCCTAGCACAAATCAATTCTAAAATAAAGTTTTTCGGTAGTCAATAACTAAAAATTTAATGGAAACTTGTTAAAACCGCTACAATTTCAAAACCTGTTTAGAAATTACTAAAAAAACCCATAGGCACGTTTTGAAGACGCGTGGCCGCGTTGGGAATCAATTTTAGTAAATTATTGTTCAAAAAAATCATATAATCTTCGAAACTCATTCATCTAATGTCCCATTTGTTGTGTGAAGGCTTTTATTCGAGCTCTTGTGCTATCTGGACTGTAAATGCGGCCCAATGAAAGGCACAAGCTTCTTTTAAAATTGTGCATTTTTTATCACATTTTTTTTTACTTTATTTGCTGCAATCAACAATCTGCTAATGTTACATTAAAGCATTAAGAAGATTTTTTCACAATAGTCACATTCACTAGTCGACCCAGCAGCCGTTCAGTGTTGCGCTCGTAGATTTTAATAGATTGTATTGAAAGGAATCTTTCCGGTAGGTCGATCGGTAGGGCTTTCTTAAGTCGTCATATTGGCATGTTATCTAATAGGTGAGTAGCAAGTGGGTTTGGATGTCTTCCAATTCTGGTGTGGTATCTTGTTGATTTTTGGCTTATTTCATGGCGGATGGTAGAGACTTTCAGATCGTTGTGGATGGAGTTATTATTTACATAGCATGGCGCGTTGACTATTTGTCTTAAAGTTTTGGACTGATATCTCTGCAGTATTTCGATATTACTGGTGCTAGCTGTTCCCCATAGCTCTATACCATAGCTCCATATTGGTTTTAGTACCGTTTTGTATAATAAGATCTTGTTTTCAAGACTAAGCTTGGACCTTCTACCTATCAACCAATGCATCTTCCTTGTTTTTATTTCCAATTCTTTCCTTTTCTTCTGGATGTGTATCTTCCAGGTGAGTCTTCTACCCAGGTGCATCCCCAGATATCTTGCATGATTGGCACTTGAGATAGGGGTGTTGTTGATTTTTGTAGGAGAACATGATCCTCTTCTTAAAGCGTATAGCACCTGCGTGCACTTTTCCTCGTTGATATTAATTTTCCATTTGGCCATCCATTTCTCAACTTCGTTAACATGTCTTTGGAGTGTCTCAGCTGCGCTGTTTAAATCGCTATCTGAACTCAATAGTACTGTGTCGTCTGCAAATGTAGCTGTCAGAATGTTATCGTTTTGTGGTAGATCCGATGTGAAAATTGTGTATAGGAAAGGTCCCAGTACAGATCCCTGCGGAACTCCCGAGCCTATGCTAAAGAAGTTTGAGTGATTCTCATTTACTTTTACTTGAGCAATTCTGTTATCGAGATAAGATTGGACTAATAGATGAAACTGCGGAAACCATTTTTTTGTTTCGTACAAGAGGCCTTTGTGCCAAACCTTGTCAAAAGCTTGTCTAATGTCCAGATATACAGCTGGACAGTATGCTTTTTCCTCTAAGCTTCCTCTTATTTTGTTAGTGACTCTATGGATTTGCTCCATTGCTCCATCCAGATGCGGTCACTCGACAGTGACCGCATCTGAATCCAAATTGGTGGTCCGGAATTAGTTTGAGGAAATTTTCACGTTCTTGTAGTCGCGCTAGGAGGACTTTTTCAAAAACTTTTGAGTGCAGTGGGAGTAGGCTTATTGGTCTGTACGATTCAGGTTTAGTGCTGTCTTTTCCTGGTTTTAGTACCATTATTATGTTGGATACTTACCATTGGTTTGGTATGTAGGTTGTTCTAAAAATAGAATTGAATATTTGATTGATGTAGATTATTGCTTTCCTATTATTTATCACATTTGAAAGACACAAAAATGTCCTTTTGAAAATTGTCGATCGTGACATCGCTTTTTTTTATGTATATTCCCGTAGGAACCACGTACGTGCATAATTTGACAAATATATCGCCAAACGTTCACATTTACCAAAAACCTTGGCACGCAATCACCAAAAAACATCGAGCCAGTCTA